AATCTAAGGTCAGCCAGACATACATAGTAATCCCTCATCGCAAAAAAGGGAATAGAGTGAAATATCAGGACTGTGAAAGGAGAACAAAAACATTTTTGTCTGATCCAAGAAATTCCTTTTCCCAAAGTCTGGCATTTAGACAAGTCAGCATTCCCTCAGAGACTTGAGAAGATAGTTCCTACTTGCTAAAAGGAGCCATTCTTCTGATCTCTGGCACAAGGGACATATGGCTCTTTCATTCTCTATGCCTGTAGTGCTTATCAGCATACCTTGATATCTTGCTCTTGCTGAGGACCTAAGTTCAGTTCCCAGCACCTACATCATTCATGCACAATCATCTGTAACTCTAGTTCCAGAGGATCTGACACCTTCTGGCTTCTTCAGGCACTGTACTCATGTGCAAACCCTTCCCTCCAATACACATGTACACAGAACTTTAAAATAATAGTAAAAATCTAAATGTTGGTGATCTGTACTAACCAACTACCTCAAGTAAGTTGAGCAGCTAAACTTACAGTCTCTGGCTTTCTCCCAAAAAGCATGTTCTCATTAATGGGAAAGCTATCTGGTTTCTTCCTCCTCCTTCTCTTCCTCTTCTTCCTCCTCCTCCTCATTCTCCTCTTCATCTTCTTCCTCCTCCCCTTCCTGTTTTCATGCAGTTTCATGGTGTAGCTCTGGCTGTCCTGGAACTCACTATGTAGACCAGGGTGGCCTCAAACTCAGAGATCCGCCTTCACTTGCCTCCGAGTGCTGGGATTAAAGGTGTGTGCCACAATGTTGTGTGAAAGCTATGTTTTACACATCCGGCCTCAAAACCAAAGCTCACTTTTATTTGGAAGCTTACTCTCCCCTTTTCTCCTCAAAAGCAGTGTGTAATGATCCCAAGCTCTGTGCATGCTCAATTCCAGAGTGGAATGTTGTTTTGGAAAGTGACCTGTGATCTACAAGTTTTCTTGGTTGTTTTATTGCTTTCCCTTTAAAGAGTCTGTTCTACAAAGGTTTCTAAAACTCCTTTTCCTCACAGTTCTTTGGCCTTCATTTCAAACATTGCCGATTGGGCAGCTGGGCGGGGTAAGGGGGAAGGCTGAAGAGATGGCTCAGTGATTAAGAGAGCTTGCTGCCATTCTAGAGGACCAGAGTTCTGGCCACTCCACAACCTGTTGCTGTGGTCTTAATTTTTCTTTTTCAAAACCTGCCATCACCAAGTCTGGTGGGTGGTACACACCTTTGATCCCACCACTCAAGAGGCAGAATAGGTAGATCTCTTAGTACAAGACCATCCTTGTCTACATAGTGAGTTCCGAGATAGCCAGGTCTGTGTAGAGAGACCCTGTCTCAGAACTAAACACCCAGACCTTTGCAACATTGTATTCAGTGCTACGTCTTAGGAGCACTGCTTAGAAAACACGTGGAAGCTACATTTTTTTAAAATTTTATTTAGCTTTTTTCATATTTTCTTCTCCCCTGTAACCAATTTATCAGCATGATTTAGTCCCCCCCCCCCCGAATAATAGATCTATAGTTGTGTGTGTCACCACACACATGCCTGTGACCCAGTACTTGGAAGGTAGAAACAGAAAGATCAGGAATTCAAGGCTAGCCTGAGACCCTGTCTATATGAAAATAAGCAGACCTAAAGGAATTCTCAGTCCTTTAAATTCATGTTCTAATAGGCTTGATGCCAGCTTAGGGAAATCAGGCTTAGTTCACAGATTTCCTGTCATCATTGCTGATGTTTTGGTCGTTTTCTGATCACACACATTTCACCTTTTCTTCATGTGGCATTGTATTACGGCTACATTTTATGGACTGTTATTCCAGATTTCCAATTCCTTCAAAAAAATTTACTGCCAAATCAAAACAAACAAAAAAGTGCAGGCAATAGTTTTATGAATCTTGCTAAAGAAATAATATTTTAGTCAAAATATACAAATCGCAAGTCTATCTCTTTACAAGTATGGCCTTCCATTTCACATATGCTTGATGTAGTTTTGGCTTTTCGGTCCTGTCGATGGAGCTCACAGCCCTGTGCATGCTAGGCACCCATTCTGTCACTGAGCTACATGCCTAGCCCCACACTGTTGTTTAGTTAATATTCATTTTTGATTATTGTATGCTTATGGCTAAGAAGTGTATGAGGGTGTCAGCTCCCCCGGGGTACTGACGACAACATACTGGCATCTATCTATACTGGGCATGGTAGTACTCTGCCAACGATGTAAGTGCTGACTGGCTGTAACAGCCTGTCTCCATAATGACTTCAGGAGAAAAACAGTCCAGCACAAGCACCCATTCTGAGTCACAGGAGGAACATTAGATTAGGTGCTGTGGGAATCAACCTCAAAGAACCTTTGCTGCTCTGAAATTAAAAAGCTCACTTCTGCCAAGCATGTTGTCAAGTGTCTCCGGTTTCTGTGGCACCACATACCCATGCAGTATTCTTTACTTTTATTTTGAAACAAGTTGTCACTAACTTCCTCAGATTAGCCTTGAACTTGATGTGTAGCCCAGGTTAGTGTCAAAAATTCACGATCCTCTATCAGACCAGAGTCCAAGAACGGAATTGTGTGAGAATTCTGATTGCTTGTGAGAAAACTCCAAGAAAACACGAGTCTTGAGACCCTAGTTTCTTCAAAACACAGAACTGTTCTTGGAACGTGTTTCTGTGTTCCTCCAAGTGTAGCAGATAGACGTGAATTTACCTCAGCTGTTGTTATTCATACGCCTCTATAGAAAAACATGTTTTTTGTGACTTGTGGCTTGTCCTTGTGATTGAACACCTTACTCATGTGATTCTTCTTAACCTCAGGGTATAAATTTCCTGATGCTGAGTAAAGATGGCTATTGCATGTGACTTTAGTCTACCTCACTCTCACAGACTCATGCCACCATCTAGTGTGGTAAACAGCACCCCTGCCTCACCGTGTTAAGACAGGTGTGCACCCAGCGTGTACACTCCTTATCCAGTTAAACACACTCCATTTGTCTGTCTTTTGCCTTGTATCAGTTTTTTTTTCTGTGGTAATGCTGATGCTTTTAAATATCATCTCTCTCCCCACTAGAACCTAAGCTACATCAGAGTACAAATTCAAATATTTTGTTCACACAACGAAGTCCCAGGATCTAAAAATACCAGCTAAAATGCAATAGGTTTCAAAAATAGGTATTTGTAAAATTAACAAAAAAGTTTTATCAAACTTTAAAAAAATGTTTTTAAACAGGGTCTCATGTAGCCCATGCTGGCTTCAAACTTCCTCAGTACATACCCGAGGATGGCCTTGAACTCTGATCCTCCTGCCTCCGCCTCCAGAGCTGGGATTACAGACTTGTACTCCCCTACTCAGTATGTTGCGTTAGGAATCAACACAAGGCTTCTGGCATGTTAGGCAAACAGACTATCAACTGAGGTATTTTAAAAGGACATGGCTCTATACCTATGAGATCTGAGCTCAAATCCTCAGCACACACATTAAAAGCCTGACAGAAGTTATGAGTACCTATATCCCAGCACTGGAGAGCATAGACAGGAGGATCCCTAGAACTGGAGAGTGTAGCCAGGAGGATCACTGGCCAGCCAGCTTAGCTTAAAGGTCACACTTCTGGTGCAGTAAGAAACCCTGTTTTAAGGCAGTAAGACACTGGGGATCATGTTCTGACTTCCTTAGCTACACACATGGGCACACACCACATACCACGTGATACTACCTCTCTCTCTCTCTCTCTCTCTCTCTCTCTCTCTCTCTCTCTCTCTCGTTTATTTATATGTGTATTTTGACAGAATGTGTGCATGTGCACCACTGAGTGTCAGAAGAGGGAGCTACATATCTTGGAATTGGATTCAGATGGCCTTAAGCTAGGTGTTGAATTGAACCTAGGTCCTCTGCAGGAGCAACAAGTGCTCTTAACCACTGAGCCAAACAATGTTTTTAAAAAGCATGTCAGGTGGACTGAGGAGATGGGTCAGAGCGTAGGATTACTTGCTGCTCTTCCAGAAGAGCTGACCCGAGTTCCCATTGCTCACGTCAGCCCCCTCCCATGGCCGACAACTGCCTATAACCCAGTTCTAGAGGCCCCAGAGCTCTCCTGTGGCCTGAGTACAGACACAGATAAACACACAAACAAAAATAAACCTTTTCTTTTAAAAGACACATCAGGGTTCGGTCATTTCTCTGTTAGACTCAGATTAGCTTTCCACTATGATAAAGTCTATAAAACTTACTTAGTAATGTTATTTTCCCTCCCTACATTGTAGCAAGATCAAAACAGAGTTTCTATTCTTGGATTTGCCCCAGTCACAAGGTAGTCTTGGCAAACCACTCTGTTCTATCTCTCAGTTTACTGAGGCTGCTTGAGAACTTCAACTGGCAGCCAAATAGAAAGAGAGCCCTTTTCTTAACTCCACAAGCCCCAAGTTATGTGGATGTGGTTTAACAGCAGATACAAATTACTGCAACTGCATTTCCTATATACTGGTGGAGGGGAGTTGGAAGGAAGACATTTTACTTTTGAGCTAGCAGAAAGGGTGGACTTTACAACATAGCTAAGCGAATCCAATGTTTGTGTAGCATGTATTTCCAACTAAAGATACCATTTCTGTATTCCTACTATATATGGATACCCCAAACCTCAAATGTTAGTAAAGGAATGTGACTGAACTGGCTCTGGCAAAGTACACTTTAAATATATTGCTTCCAGACAGATAATTCTTATTTGTGCCGCCTATGTGGTCTTAAACTCTTCCTGCTTCTGCAATCAGCATCCTCTCTTACAACTAACTGTGCAGTGCTTTAGGGGCTCCTAATCCACCTCACTCCACGATGCCTTCAGACACAGTGACTCTACTCACACTGATGGAAAAGGAAGCAAAGCCCTGGGGATGCAGTTGTGCAGGTCTCACACGGATCTGCTGCTAAGCAAAACCTCTCTGCCACTCTCTTGGCTTGGCTGAGTTCCTCTGTTGGCTCAGAGTTAGTGATCTGGTACAGTCTAGGAGGCTTAGGACCCAGGGGGCGCCTTTCAGCTGAAAAACACCTCGGCTGCAGCAAGCTAGCTGGGAAGCTCCCAGTTCTAAAGAGAGGCTGTTTACCAGAAGAGCATAACAAGAGCCGGTCTGACTGCAAGGCTGGGAAGTAAGAGACAAAACTGCTGCCAAGGAGACCCCATTTGGACACTGGCTGTTCAGTCACCTGCAAGCTGGAAGAGGCGAGGATGCTGTTGGCTTGGGTGCACACATTTCTTCTCAGCAACATGCTTCTGGCAGAAGCCTATGGATCTGGAGGTGAGATTTCATTTTTTTTTCCTTTCTGCAGCAACTTAATGAAGCAGAACGGGTAAAGCCCCCAGATTTCCCAAATGTGGCCAGGCTGACAGGGAAGGAAGGTTTTGGCTGATTTTCTTGTTATCCTACGAAAGCATTCTTCTTTCCTCTCTCTCCTTCCTTGCCAGAGGCTTGCAGCTCCATCTTTGCCATTAAGAACAAAGACAAGTAGTCACTTTCTCTTTCCCTTTCCTTCACACTAGTGGATGGAGCTTGGGAATTCATCTCTTCTATTCCCCAGAGTCCTACCCTTTTAAAGTCCGTTTGCTTAGTGTGGCAGGCGCAGAAACCTCCCCTCTCCAGCCTCCTCCTGTGGCTCTCTGCTGAGGGGAGGGGGAGCTGAAGAGATGAGGCAGAGTCCCTCAGCTGGAGTCTCTATTGAATCTTTTGCTTCACTGAATCAAAGGCTTTTGTGGAATTCTCTTGGGCGCTGGTGGTGTCTGTTAACTAGCAGAAGGTGGCTGTATTCGTGGAGAAGGGAACATCAGTTTATGTAACATTGACTTCTCAACACTGGGATGACTTCCATGTCTGACTGCCCAGAACCAAACTCACCATCTCCACAGAAAGACCTTAGCCAGGCTTCCCGCACCTTCAAAGTGGTCCCAAGTCCAAGAGTATGTTACAACCCTTTGCATTTGTGCAGCGATCTCAGAAAGAGAAAGAAAGAAAGAAAGAAAGAAAGAAAGAAAGAAAGAAAGAAAGAAAGAAAGAAAGAAAGAAAGAAAGAAAGAAAGAGAAAGAAACAGAGTTGCGAGCTAGCTAGCTAAGTCTGAGTGTTGTTGTCTGTGGACCAAACGCCGCTAGGGGCATGACACGAGCTCTCCACTTTCACTCTGAGGGTACACAGGGCTTTCTCCCGCGAGCCCCGAGAGCCGCACTCAGGGGCCCGGGCGGATTCCTCTTCCTCACAGGCTGCTTCTGGGACAACGGCCACCTGTACCGGGAGGACCAGCCCTCGCCCGCGCCGGGTCTCCGCTGCCTCAACTGGTTGGCCGCGCAAGGCAGCCGCGAGTCGCTCGCCGAGCCCAGTGAGTGTCCCGCCGGGGAGGCGGGCGGGGTTGGTGGGCGGCGGCCGCGGCCCTTGACGGCTCTTCTCCCCACCTCAGGCCCCGGCAACCACAACTTCTGCCGGAACCCGGACCAGGACCCGCGCGGGCCCTGGTGCTACATCAGCAGCGAGACTGGCGTCCCTGAAAAGCGGCCCTGCGAGGACGTGCGTTGCCCAGGTACCCGCCCTGGGACCCCGGGAAGGGGACGCCAGCCCCGTGCGCAAAGCAGCGTAGCAGCGGTTACACCCGTCGCGCACGTGCGGCCGCTCGACGCCCATCCCGCCCCGTTCCACCCCCGCGCCGTCCGATTGGTCAGAGCTATCTCCAGGCCGCGGAGCCCAAAGCCCATTGGCCTACGCGGCAGTCGGAGTGAGCTCATCCTCTGCGAGCACTTGTAAACAACGGTGGGAGGCAGCTTGCGTGTTCCGCAAAGCGCCCCACCAGCCTCTACTGTGTGTAGCGTCTGCTGTGAGCCAGGCACCATGCTCCCAGTCCCAGGGAAGAAGCTGTGTGAGGGATCTGAGTCATCCAGAAGTTTGACCACCTGCCAAAGGCAATGGGTGTGTTCTGATTTGAATTCAAAGCGTTCAGACTTCAGAAAACAGTTCTCTAGGATTAAATGAGCTGGTCAAGGTTAAGCACTTAACACTGGGATTGACAAGACCGTTGCACTCCGTGTGACACGGATTGTCTCCTGCTGTGAAGACCCGTGTAGTCTCTGGAGAAACCCTCTGGCAATCCCTGCTAGGTGTTGGAAGATAGCAAGGACTTGAACAGACAAGTGGGAGGCTGGAGAGAGGCTATTGTTTAAGACCATTTCCTCACATTGCCTCCTAACATCTCTCACCCAGGGGCAGCCTTTTCAGACCTGATTTTTCCCCTCGGGCAGGCTAGTTGGTTTTTTTGTTTTGTTTTGTTTTTTCCCTTTTCTGTTTTTGTGATAGGATCTCACTTTGCAGCCCCGGCTTGCTTGCTTGGCTGGTGGAGATTCACAGAGATGCTCCTGCCTCTGTTCCATAATTCAGATGTTCACCACCACTCCTATCCTGGGGCAGGATTTGATATCAGTTTAGGGGAGCACTTTAGGGCGGACCCTTCCGGTAACATCCCCAACGGCCAGGACAGGTTTGGCTGTCGAATGCACTTAGGACATGGTCCTTGATGAGAGCTGTTCTTACCTCACCTGCAGAGACCACTTCCCAAGCACCACCGCTGTCCTCTACGACGGAGCTGGAAGAGAAGGCTGGTGCACCCGGTGACAGAGAGGCACAGGTGTTCCCTCCTGCTAACGCCCTGCCAGCCAGGAGTGAGGCGGCAGCGGTGCAGCCAGTGATCGGGATCAGTCAGCGTGTGAGGATGAACTCCAAGGAAAAAAAGGACCTGGGAACTCTGGGTATGGCCGCGGGTGTGGGGATTCATCAGATGATGCCATTTGCTGATTGTCCAGGGTGTGGCTAATGGGACCGTGTCTCCTGTCCTGTGCAGGCTATGTGCTGGGCGTTACTATGACCGTGATCATTATCGCTATTGGAGTTGGCATCATCTTGGGCTACACTTACAAGAGGTAGGTAGTTTCTCTTGTTGGCTCCCTTGGAATAGGGCTAAGGAAGAGAGAAAGTAGCAGATGAACTTCTTGGAGTCTTTCAAAAGGAAGCAAGATACTGAAGGAAGAAAAATCAGCTCAAGAGTAGAGATTTGGTTTTAGTCACTGCCTGGTGACCTTGGGCCCTCAGGACAAGGACTTAGATGCTGATTCCCCCCCCCCCCCCGCCCCCAGACAAGGTCCCCATCTGTAGCCGTGAGTGGCCTTGAAGGAGTGGTCTCCAACTCGTAATCCTCCTGCCTCGACCTCGCTGAGGAATGGATTTCTGAGCCCTTGTCATCATGCTCGTCATTTTGTTGAGTTTTAAAATTCTGCTACTAAGATAGGTGCCCTGCTTCATACCTACTGTAATCCGAGAACCCAGGAGACTGATGCAAGAGGTTTACAAGTTTGAAAACTGAGGCTCTGTTTCAAGAAGACAAAGGAAAAAAAAAAGTAAAAACCCAAGAAGTGCTCTTTAATCTCAGCAGCAGGAGGTGAGTTCCTCCATTTTAAGACAGAGACCATGTGTCGAAACATCCCACTGTTGGAAAAGGTTCCTGGCCTCTGGTCTCATGTTGGGGCTTACATTTCATCAGTGGGGTGTCCTCTAAGGTAAGGAGAAGAAAAGAAATGATTACAGAAGAAAATCCATTCACCATTCCTTACCAGATATGAAAGTACAAGAGACTGCTTGGGAAGCAAGGACAAACTTGCAGCCCCATGGGACAAGTCTGTCATAATCAGTGACGTGAGGTTCTAAGATTCAATACCATTGTTTCAACACTGAGTGTTCTCGGACAAAATCTGGGTGTGAGTTCCAGCCCCAAAGGCCAGCGATATTTCTCTGACTGGAGAAGCCTTCCTGGTAGGGAAGTGGTACAGTGGGCTGAGTTGTCCAGCAGTGGGAGTCATGTCTGAGACATGTTGAAGTGCTTCTCAGCCATTGTTTTCTAAACCCGAGGCATTCTTAGAGGTATTGAGTCAGCCACATTGCAGATGGAAACGGGCAGGCGAGGCATCGCTGCAGCAATGGCGTGTTCTTACCTGCAGCTATGCTACCACTTAGTGTGTGCCCCAGCTTTACTGTCTGAGACAGGGTCTCTGTAGTTCAGGCTGGCCTTGGAATCATCATATAGCAAAAACATGGCCTCGAACTCTTCGTTGTTGTTTGATGTTGGTGTTTCGTTGTTTTGATTTGTTAGAGACAGGGTCTCACTCACCCTGTAACTCTGGCTGTCATGGATCTCTCAAGACAGACCAGTCTGGCATTGAATTCAGAGAAATGCCTGCCTCTGCCTCCTGGTTGCTAGGATTAAAGCCTGGCTTCTTGAAGTCTGAATCCTGCTTCTTCCTCCCGAGGGCTGAGATTACGTTCACAATCACTCTTATAAGATCAACGACGTTCTTTCCAGTTCTCAGATGAGGAAACTTGAGGCAAGAGAGAAGAGGTGGTCTGCCCGTGGCTGGGCTGCTGTCTGCGTGGCTGGGCAGGTTACTACTTGTTACTAGTCCAAAGCATTCCTGTGGGGGAAAGGTGTGTGGCTGCTTCGCTTGGGTGCCTGGCACACAGTGATCCATAAACAGTAGCTGGTGTGATTGTCTGTAGAATGTGATTACTTACTTGACTACTTACCTTTTCTGGGCCTCAGTTTATCTATCAGATGGGCAGTTAGGGGTGACTGCAGCCCTGCTGGTTTTTGCAAAGGACACTGGTGCTGGTTGTTTTAAATCCCAGCCCTACTATTTGCATGAACAGGTGATATTATGGGTTTCTCTGAGAGCAGAGAGGTTCTGAGTCAGGCACCATTGACCTGAGGGAACATCCTGACTCCAGACTGAGGTTGTGGTCCTCAGAAGCATCGTTAACATGCAAGTCCAGGGACACCTACTTGTTCATTTAAAAACTCTGCCAGTACAGTCCACTGACCCAAACTGAACTGGACTGAGCCCTGAGATTTTCCCATGTTCCTCAGCCTCTGGACAGCATTTGGCTGCCTTCCAATCTTTCGACAGTTTTCCAGACCTTCAGATGCTTGAACTAACTGCCTTTAATTCCAAGCTCAGCTGGTGCTAGATGCAGAAGCCAGGTCTTTTTCTTTTAGTTTTACCCTTTTAGGCTGTCATGGGGCTGCCACGTGATCTTGAGTGAACTTCCGGGACACACAGGGGGAAGGCACTAAGTCACCAGAGTCCCTGTCACTAACCTCTGAACCACCCCTTTCCTTAGCAAACAGGCTCTGAGAACAACCTGTACAACAGGAAACCGCATGTGGGCTAGAAACAAGCTCTGAGCCTCCCTCTCCCCACCCGTAGGGAGCAGATGTCAGGGCAAGAGCTATAAGCTGAATATCATTTCAGGCCACTCCTGCTTGGTAGGTATCATGTGTGTTAAATGTGGATGTTTCCCCTGCACAAACATTTATGTAAGCAGTAGAACAGTAATCAGATACTAATCACAGTGGCCACCGTAAGCTTCATGCTTTCTTGATAAGTCAGGCCCTGCTGTGTGTCTTCCTCGGTTGATTTTTTACCCAGCTCATTACCTCCCTTGAACCTTTCTTCCCAGTAAGAAGCTGAGACCTAGAAGAGTTAAAATGAGACTGGGTACCCATATGTATTTGTGTGTGTGTGTGTGTTTCTTGTTTTATTTTGAGATAGGTTCTTACTCTTTAACCCAGGCTGGCCTGAAAGTATGTATGTATGTATGTATGTATGTATGTATGTATGTATGTATGTGTGTGTTTTGCCTGTATGTATGTCTGTGCACCAAGTCCTCTAAAGCCAGAAAGGGTATTGGACCCTCTGGAACTGGAGTTACTGTTGTGCACCACCACGTGGACGCTGGGGATCCAGGCTGGTTCCTCTGAAGGAGCAGCTAGTGTTCTTAGGCTACCGAGCCATTTCTCCAGCCTCTTTAAGCATTACTTTGTTTGTGTGGGTGTTTTATTTTGCATGTATGTCTGCACTGTAGGCATACCCAGAGGGTTGTGAGCTGCCATGTGGGTGCTGGGAATCAAACCTGGATCCTCTAAAAAAGCAGCTAGTGCTCTTAACTGCTGAGCTGTCTCTCTAGCCATGGCCAGGAACTCTTGGTCTTTATACCTCGACTTTCTGAGTGCTGGGATTACAGGCATGAGCCAGCATGGCTGGCTGGACAGGAAGATATGTCTAAATACTGTCAGTTATCTCCAGAACGCCTGACAAAACCCAGTAGCCTCATCTAAATATAAACTACTCAGAGCAGTAGAAAAGAAAAACGTCTCAAAGAATGACTTTGTTTAGAAATTTAAAAAACAAACAACCCCAAGATCTTACTCCAGAATTTCCTCCAATTGTTGATGCCACATGAGGCACATTGTTTACCACTTCTGGGCCTGTTGACTCTTTAGGTTGGGAGTAAGCTGTGATGACCTTCCCAGCACTGCTGTCTTTAGAGGATACTATTGCTTGATTTAAATCCTAGCTCGGCTTAACACCGCTCCCTCCTTCCGTCTTTCCTTCTCTCTCCCTCTCCCTTCCTTCCTCTCCCCTCCCTTCCTCCTTCCTCTCTCTCCCCCTCTCCCTCCCTCATTCTCTCTCCTTTCCTGTCCCTTTCTCTCCCTCTCTCCTTTCCCTTCCTCCCTCCTCTCTCTCCCTCTCTCCTCTCTTCCCCTGCCTCCCCCTCCTTCCTTCTCTCTCCCCCCTTCTCTCTCACTCTTCCTCTTCCCCCCTCTTCCTCTCTCTCCCTTCTTTCCTCCTCTCCTCGATCCCCGCCCCAGCCTTTTCAGGTCTGAGATGATAATAGATAGCACATGGGTGTCTTGTGAGGATAGAATCAGTGTGCATACACTTGGGTATACACTGTGCCCCTGTACAGTAGCCTCCTTGGAAAACTTGCCCAGAGCAGCAGTGTGGCACAGCATGGCTTCTGGTTTGGAAACAACCTTGGGAGGCAGGTAGCAGCTCTGGCTCCTCACCTGTCTTCTCTCTGGTCAGCCTAGCTTGCATGTGAGCCCCAGAGCAATCAGTAATTCCCACAAGTCTTGAACTCTGTAATGCCCCAGGGCTTGGCTGATGGAGGGAGCTTCCCAGGGTTAGGAAGGGTGGGCTTGGCACCAAGGCTTCCTCCTGGAAAAAGCTGAAGGTTAGGGTAGAAGGGAACTCAATCTGGCTGGGCCTTTGTCTTGGTAATTTAGGCCACGAGTTTCAGCCAGGCCACCATTGGCTGCTCCCTGTCCCTGCTGAGTGCTGTCTTAGCTCTGCAGGGAGCTCTTAGTCTGATAAAAAGGGAGAGAAAACAGTAAGGCAACACCATCCCACCCCCTGGGAGAGAGCTGAGTCAGTGAGTAAGCCTTTGTTCTGTCTTGGCTGCCAGACAACAGCCAGACTGTCCCCTGCCCCCCACGGCAGTGGGAGGGTGCTGGGCTGCCTAATGGTCACTTCAGCCTGGCAGCTCCGCCACTCCATCTCCAGGATTCTTAGGCGGGACTCACAGCAGGCATGCGGGGCCAGGCATGCTTCTAGGCTCCTAAACGGACGGATGAGGCCGATCCAGACTAGTCACAGCGGCTGCTTCCTTTACCCTGGGTTGCTCTTCCAGCCCTCCACTAATACAGACTGATTTGACCCCTATAGGTGTGTGTGTGTGTGTGTGTGTGTGTGTGTGTGTTAAAGCCTGCCTTACCAGCTGCTCAGCAGGTAAGCTTCATTGGGGAGGGAGTGGAGGAAAGCCAGGCCTCTGCATGTAAGGAAATAGGAAGAAGTGAGGGTAGGGTGTGTGTAGTGTGTGGCGTCCATCAAAGGTGCAGTTAAATGCTGCCTCTTCCTGGATGATGCCACACTCCTGGTACCTTGGTAGGTATTCTAGAAGTGGTGGGTTCCTGGTTTGCTTTCTTCCTTCAGCCTTCTTGTAGATTTTGAATTTTAGCCTCTGATAAAAAAAAAATGCCCCCTTCCCACACAGGGTTTCTATGTGTAGCCTTGACTGTTCTGGAACTTACTCTAGATCAGGCTGGCTTCAAACTCACACAGTTCCTGTCTCCTAGATCAGGCTGGCTTCAAACTCACACAGTTCCTGTCTCCTGAGTACTAGGATTTAAGGCCTTGGCCTCTACCACCTGGCTTGAATGCGTTATTTTTGTGAATCACGTCTAGCTTGGAGAGGAGGATCCCTTACTAAAATTAAAATCAGACCTTCCAAATTTTTGCCCACATGAGCCATCTTGAAGCACATGAGTTTATATTATACAGATAGATGTTTCCTTCTGCATGGCAGCCAACTACAACTGATGGATGACCGAATCGTGTGCCAGGCAGGAGTTGATACCCAGTAAAGATTCTAACGGGAAGCATAGGCCAGGCTGGGCTTGCATGTTGAGAAACTTGGTTATCCTAGTCACTGGGTACCACAAAGGGATGAGTTTATCAGCCTCCTGTCACCTTATATTAGAAACTAGGGGATCAGATCATATGTCACATGGGGGAATCACAGAAGGTCCAGGGCTCTAGAGACTATCAAGCCCAACTCCTTATTTTAAGATGGTGAAATTAAGGCCCAGAGAGAAGGGTATCACTAAGTAGTTCTTGCCTTGGCTAGGTAATAGGAGAGGTCTTTTAAGGAAAATGAGGGTGACACTGCCTTGTAAGTCAGTCAGGACCGCTCCAGGGCAAGCCATCATAACCTAGGAGATCATGCAACAGTCACACTGGTTTGTGGAAGCAGCTTCAAAATTATTTCACAGTATGAAGAACTTCACAGGGGAAGAAACCGAGGCACAGAGAGCTGTTTTGCCAAATGTTAAATAGGCTAGGCTGGAGCGAGGAGACACAGTACAGGGAACTGGTTAAGAGGGCATTTAAAATTGAGGCTTCTGTGTATTTGTCCTCTAGTATTTTTTTTTTAAACTTTCATCATTGTATATCATGTGATGGATGCAGGATACAATCTAAACCAGGCCCCTGTGCTTTGTTTTAAATAAACAAACAACATTTTATTTCAGTTGCACTGGGCAGGTCTTAGCAAGGCAGGGAGCAGGTTCTCACGGAGAGAAAGAGGTTTCTACTGAACTTGCTGGGGATGAGTGGGGTCCATGATGGGCAGGGCCATCTTGGAGATACAGTGATCTTGTTGACTGATTTGGATGGCTTCTTGCTATTGTTGCTCTCGGGGGTGACATCTCTGTCATTCTCCAGCACCATGTTGCAGTGGTGGCTGAAGCCCTTCGCCTGGCCTGAGAGCTTGTTGTTGCAACAGTTGATGAACACCAGTATTCTTGAGTGACTGCATGAGCAGAGAGGGGACCTGTGCCGACCTTCTCGTCCTCCCACTTGTGCAGTCATCTGGCTCTAGGGTTTATTGAGGAGATTTGTGGTGGAGATTTTGCTAGAAGATCACTCCTGCCTGTACTGCATTGCTTCAGCCGCTACTCCTATGGCCTGTGTGGTTTTAATCACTCACTATGTTCCTGTCACCTGAGAGCAGAGCCCAAGTTGTTGGCTTCAAAGGATGTGCCCTGTATTCCGTACTAGCTCTGGTGTGCAGTCTACTGGACATAGTGCAGGAGGCAGGGCTCCAGTGGAAAGGGCCCACGTGTGGTGTTAGAAGACCTAGGTTTCTAACCTAGGGGCTAACTCTGGGTCACAACGTCTCTTCAGAGCAGCCAGAGCCCAATGAACTTGTTGGAGTCTGTCCTATATCCTTGGAGCATCCTTTAAATGCTCTGGAATGCTTTTTTTTTTTTAACTTTAAAAAAAAAAGGTTTAAAAAAGGCTTATTTCGGCTGGGCGGTGGTGGTGCACGCCTTTAATCCCAGCACTTGGGAGGCAGAGGCAGGCGGATTTCTGAGTTCGAGGTTGGCCTGGTCTACAGAGTGAGTTCCAGGACAGCCAGGACTACTCAGAGAAACCCTGTCTCAAAAAAAGAAAAAAGGAAAAAAAAAAAAAAGGCTTATTTCATTTATATGAATACACTGTAGCTGTTTTCAGACACACCAGAAGAGGGCATCAGATCCCATTACAAATGGTTGTGAGCCACCATGTGGTTGCTGGGAATTGAACTCGG